TTAAGTTTATAAGAAAAATGTCACTATGTAAACAACAGCCGTTTTGATTAAACACTGAAGTTCTTATTTTGGCTGTTAAATCAATAATGCAGCTGGATTGAAAGTAGTTTACATTCCCTCCGAACTGGGCTTCGGTTCAGCTAGTATTGCACTGACATCATTTTCCAGCAAGATCTGGCTGCTTTTAGCAGCCAGTTTAGAAATAGTCATTACAAACAACCACATACTTCTCAGTGTTAACACATCTCAAGAAGAGGGTCTCACAAATGCCCGTGCTTAAAATAGTACAGTCAATCCAGAAATAGTCTCTCATCTAATGTGTAATTTACTAGTAAAAACTCTTAATGTAATTTCAACAAGGCTGTAAGACAAAGGTTGTTAGTGACATGATTTGTCTTTTACTTCACTTGAACCTGACTTTGGAAGGTCTCCCACTGTCCCGTCTATAGTAGATTAATTAATGTGTCACACGGAGCAATCATTCTCACATTTGTTTTGGTGACAGAGCACCTAGAAGTCTGAGTGCTCTTTCCTAAACAACAAGCTCTTTGTAACTCACTGCCATCAAGTCAATTCCAGCCAATACGGATACACTATATAGTTACACTATACAAACTAGGAAAACATCACAAGTAGAAAATAAGACTATATTATATGTCCAAAAAACCCCCACAACTACCAGCATGTATAAACCATTAAAAGAAAAGCAGATGAACAGATGGCAATAGGTCGTTGTGTTTTTCATAGAACATTCATTTCCAACTTGCATCTTCAATGTCAACAACCAAAAATAAAATAATATGGATCAAAAATGCTAAAATGTATTCAAGACCATCCAAATAACTATTATTTCATGTGAACTACAAAAAAAAAATCACTATGATTTCATTTCAGCAGCAAAATACTCTCTTCCATTTGGTTTAACTTAAGTATTCTATAGCCTATGTTTAATTAGTACTAACTCAGAACTTTTTTCTTTTTTAATAATACTCATGGTTATAGTTTATTACAGGGAAAAGATACAGATTAAAATGAAGCAAGGGAAGAAGTGCATAGAGTGGAATTCAGGGAAGTACCTACCACATGCAGAGCTTCTGTTATCCTCTC